GCTCAAATTACTCGTGGTGATGCCGCCTTTCAGGACATATGACGTTCGATTCAAAATTTTTTATATTTTAATAGTTATGCACCTCCCAATAATGGACTTTGATGGCTCGGGATAAGAGACTTGTAGCGTCTCAGAGTTTTTTTGAACATGGCCGGAGACGCTACCGCGTCTCCTGATATATTTTTATTACAGTTATAATAAATAATTAAATAAAGTTGGTTGAATTATTGTTATAATTACTCCTTATATTTTTTGTTTTTGAATGGTATGCTTCAAGAAAGGACCATTTGATTTAGAAGTATGATTATATTTTACAAATTATAACACAAGTTACAAATCTACATTTTAAAATAAAAAATTGAATTTATGGTACATTTCCTTGTCTAACATATTCCCATTGCCAAGGCAAGGCGCCTTCTACGCTTACGAAGTAGTCAGCTAATTCATCTCGGGCCTATTTGACAGTTTTTGAAGGATTGTTTGATCCTAATCGACCAATAGAACGTAAATCACATGGTATATCTTTGTGCAAAGGTACTCCATTTTCATCTATATATTCAGAAACTTCCGTTACAACATATCTTCTTTCATGTTGTGGAATATCCTCTTTGTAAAAAATTATGGAGAATTATTGTTGCCATAACTATTTCTTCGCAAGTTTCTACAGAGGCAATTATTTCCTTTCGTAAAATTCTCCACCGTTGTACTAAAATGCCAAACGCATTTTCAATAGTTCGCCTCGCTCTGGAGAGTCTATAATTAAAATGTTTTTTTTTTCTCCTAAGTTATTGCCTGGATATGGTCGCATAATGTGCTTGTCAAGGGGAAATGCTTGATCTGCTACTATAAAGTGATTAAATTTAATATTTGAATTAGGAAGATTGCATGGCTCTGGAATTTCCAAAGTGCGATCTTGTAATGCTTTACCAAACGCACATTCCTTGAATATGACAGAATCGTGATTAGAACCAGCTGCTCCAATGTCAACAAATGTAAAACGATAATATGCATCACACATGGCCATTAATACGATGCTGAAAGACTTCTTATAGTTGAAGAATTCAGTTCCAGAGTGCTTTGGAGCCATAATGTTGATGTGTTTACCATCAACAGCTCCAAAGCAATTTGGCATATTCCATCGATGATAAAATTCATGAGCAATGTTCTTCCAGTCGTCAATACTTGGACATTTCAATACATGTGGCTGTAGAACGTCCCATAAGATTTTACACGTTTCTTTAATGATGACATGTGCTGTTGTCTTTCCGATACGAAAATTCCTTGCAATTTCCTGCATTGTACAGCCCTCGGCTAAGTAGCTATGAATAAAAGAAAATATATAAAAATTATTTCATTGTTTTCATAATATAATCAAATTAAAATATACTTTATTATATATGTATGACTAACTGCAATGTTAATATCAGTCGATGTGAAGGTGACAATGTATAAGGATTTCTTCGAGTGTCCTTCTGCAGTTTATGTCCCACTAATTGAAGTAACTCATTGAACTGGCTCGGAGAACACCGTGTAAATTTAAAAAACTGCTCATAATCATGTTCAAGATTGAGCATATCCTTGGTTAAAGAAAAAAAATGACCGTTTTCATTTCTTTTTCTATTCATTGGTCGAACGGCATACCTCCTTCTTTTCCTTCTTTGATTATTTTGAAGTAATAAATGTGCTACACAGCCACTTGACAATAAAAGTAATAATCCAAATGTCAATATTATCCTACGTCGCTGATTCATTTTGCATTTGTGCGTCTGCAAAGTGCAATCATCGTTCGTTTGGGGTTATGTTTCTTTACGTATACGCATGCGTAGTCTGAATTTCCAGGGAAGCATAAACCAATCCTTAAGATTAAGTTAAGACTAATTTTAAGACTAAAATTAAGACCGAAGCATAAACCAGGCATAAGACAGTCTTGAAATAAGAACCGACTATGAATACCGGCCAAAGGGCTGCATTCGCGTCTTAAGACATTACTTAAGGCTCCTGAATACTCAGCCAAGAACTCCGTGTTGATGGGTAGCGACACCGAATCAGTCGGTGGCTAGCAAAACTGGTAGTACGCTACTGGTTATACACACAATTGCAAGCTCATGTCTGTGTGCTCATTTTCGGGTAGAAGGGGAGCGCACAGACATGGGTTCATGCTTGTGTGTGTGTATAGCGCCTCGCCATGGTAAAAGTCTGAACTAATAGGCGTGAAAAAGTGATGTTTTGACGACAAATTTTTTCTTGCGTGCCATTTTGTCAATATTTGCTTATTTGTGAAAATGTGATTTCCCTCGTACTCGTGAAAGTCCTAAAAATTGGCGGAAACTGCAGTTATCGTAAAATTTTATACGTAAAAGCGTATATTTCACTCGTTTCATCAGCTGTCAAAATGTGTGATTCTGCCCGAGTATAGGCTCACTTTACGTGCCTTTTACGACCATTTACTAACTATTAGAGGAGGAAAGGACAGTTTCCGCCAATTTTCACAAGTGTTTTTGAGCGATCTCGCCTTTTAAATTTATCCAAATTGTCTTTATTAAAAAAATGGGACGCAAGAAAAATTAATGTGTTTTTCTCGCCTATGACGTCACAATTCCAACATGGCCGTCGCCGGTATTCAGGAGCCTTAAGACAGTCTTCAAATAAGTACTGACTATGAATACTGGCCTAAGAGTCTCGGCAATAACAAAAGATTGAGGTTAGGAAATCTATCACATCGATGGCATAGACGAACACATAAGTGAGGTTAGAATAAATATATATTTTCTGCTTTATTACATAAATTCTCTGCTATAAAACACATTCCGCTGTAAGAATACAAATTATTTTCTATATAATTATTTTGTTTTTATAACATTTTATGGTTAGGTTATTCTCTTTCTATTCACTGGTGTAATGGGAGAGAGAATGAGAGGGAGATTGGACGTCTTCCACAGTCCCTCTCTCTCATCCTTACCGACCATTTTGACACACGGATCACGCAGGGACGCAGGACGGTATTCATAAGTCAGTTCTTAATTGAAGACTGTCTTAAGTAATAGGCCTGTTCTTTTTCTCTACACTTTGCCCTCAGTGCAATAAGTTGAAGTAAAACAGATGTACGTTTGTTCATTTCAACTTATTGCACTGTCTGAATTGATGCAGATCACTGTCTGTACTCAGGCAAAAAGAACAATCCTAATGTCTTAAGACGCGATTGCAGCCCTTTGATTGGTTCGTGACATTTTAAGACTGTACTTAAGACGATCTTGAATATAAGAATTGACTATGAATACCGACCTTATGTCTTAATGTAAGGCCTATCGCACATGAAAAGCATAATTGTGGATAAGCATAACATAAGGCCGCTGGACCAATGAGCATCTTATGTTAATCAATATGGAGTCTTTATGCTGGATGCTCATTGGTCCAGCGGCCTTATGTTATGCTTATGCACAGTTAAGGCGCGTCTACAATAGGGTTCGTAAGCTTAACATAAACGTAAACATAAGAAATCACTCCGCATCGTCTACAATAGCAGCCCATAAACGTAACGTAACATAATAAATCGTAAACTCGTATTTGAGTATTCTAACCTCTGTACTACATAAGTTTTTATACAATATATAGGAATTTCAGAACTATATAATAATCAATGGATATTTATCGAGTTAAAAAAATTAGTCTTGTAACTATTCAACTAGCTACTATTGTTATGCAGTTATTGCAAAGAAAAAAGAAAAAGACTGCTAAACGAAAATATTGGATTCGATCACTATTATTGCAGCGGAAACATAATGGTCATTTTCATACTCTTTTTCAATTTATTAAAAACCATGATGATGAGCAATTTTTCAAATTTACTCGAATGACTGTTTCACAATTTGAAACACTACTTAAATTAGTACAAGAGCCTCTGATAAAAAAAAGTCTTCGTGAGCCTCTCTCGCCGGCACATCGATTATGTATTACTTTATAGTAAGTATGTTTTGTAATATTTTCAATAATTTGTTATGTTTCTTGAACTATAATATTTTATTTTATATAGTTATGTAGCTCATGGTTGCTCTATGCAAACTATTGCATGGAACTTTTATGTATCAAAATCAACTGTTAGCAATGTTATCCATGACACTTGCAAGATTATATGGGAAAAGTTATCGCCTATATATATTCCAAGACCTACTGTGAATGACTTCAAAAGGTATGCACGAAATTTTCAAGAATTGTGGAATATGCCGAATTGTTTCGGCGCGATTGATGGAAAGCACATTGTTATACAAGCTCCTCACAAGACTGGAACTAGTTACTTCAATTATAAAAGAACGTTCAGTATTGTATTAATGGCAGTTTGTGATGCAAACTACATTTTTACTCTTGTTGATGTTGGTGCTTTTGGATCACAAAGTGACGGAGGAGTCTTCAAAGAATCTGCTTTTGGAATAGCTTTCGACAATAAAGAATTGGAAATACCAAAAGATAACTATTTACCGGGAACTGACATAAAGTTTCCATATTATATGGTTGCAGATGAAGCGTTTTCTCTGAAAAGTTACATCATGTGACCATATCCTGGTAAATTGAATAAAACACAAAAAATTTTTAATTATTGTCTTTCTCGAGCCCGTCGCGTAATAGAAAACTGTTTTGGAATTCTGGCTAGTCGTTGGCGATTTTCCGATCACCGATTATTGCAGACGTTAATACGGCAGAATTGATTGTATGTGCAGGATTGTGTCTTCATAATTTCCTTCAAAACTCGACATCAAAACCAGAAAATGCTATATACTGTCCTTCAAATAACACTGAATGCGAAGAGAATATAACTTTTAAAAACATAGGAAGAATGGGAGCTAATAATGCTACACGCAAGAATGTTGCTTTACGTGACACACTTGCTGAGTACTTTATTTCTCCAAAAGGCGCAGTTATATGGCAAGAAGCATACATCACAAGAGGATCATTTTAATCATATACAACTCATGAATATATATTGTACAAAACTAAAATTTATTTCGGTAATTATGCACTATAGGGGAGCCAGCTCCGATGACATTGACCTTGACATATGTTGTCAAGGTCATGATTCTGAGCAACTTTGCCTTAAAACTAGGTGGCGGACTCTTATAGTTTTTGAGATATTAAGCGTTATTTTTAACAGTAGTGAAACCTACTGGGTAAATGTTTCGCTTTACACAGTCAACCTCAAATGACTTCCGAGTGACCTTGACCCTCAAGAAGGTCAAGGTCATTGACCATTCCCGTCGCCTCGTCCTTCGTTAAAAAATTATTAACAATCATAGTTCTAAACGTTTCATTTCTGCTATATACGTATGATATCAAATACTATTGTACACCTTTCCCTGTTCAGAAACGTTAAACTTTCCACGCGATGTTACTTTCACTCCCTCCCCCCCCCTGCACAGGGGCACACGACTTCTACGATTGTACTGTTGCTATGATAGTACTGTCGGGGCAGATCTCTGTGACGGTGTGGGTGCGGGGGGGGTGGCCGAAGGCCGCCCTCTTGCACCCGCCCGCCCGTGTGTGTGTGTGTGTGTGCGCGCGCGTGTGTGTGTGTGTGTGTGTGTGTAAAATATCAAGTAATAGACTCATAATCGTTATATAACGAATGGAACACACACACACACACACACACACGGGCGGGTGCAAGGGG